TTCTGCTTCAATCATCATTTCACTTCTTCAGCAGTAACCACATTAGAGTTTAAGGTCTGAAAATGTTAGTTCTGTTATCCAAGATTTCTTCAAGTTCTGAGGTGTCTCATGGTTACCTACTAGTAAGAGTGTTCCTCCCAACCAACATTTAATTTTTCAATAAAATCAATTTAGAGTAAATGCACAAAACCAACAAGCAGCAGCACAATTTAATTTGCTATGATAGCCAGATACACCCCAATCTTACTTTATTTTTAAGCATGCAATTAAAAGTAATTTAATTCCCTTACATAGACATTACATGAAAGAGAAACATTATTGTTAGAAGGGCTTAGTGCTGTTGGTACACAAACCTTAGGACAGATAAATTAGGCCCTAGTAAAACAGCATATAATTTACATTTTGTTAAGTCAATCACAAGTAGCATCTTGAGGCTCTTAAATAGTGTGCCAAACCACAACATAAGAGAACTAATGCAAAGCAACCCATGTAGTAGGATCACTTGAGTTCCCACAATCCAAGAGATCCCCTAAAATGAGTTAGCAGCTGGATTTCATAGGATTATTCCTCTTTCACATCATAGAATCATAGAAGGGACCTTAAAGCTCATCCAGTTCCACCCCCCTGCCATGGGCAGGGACACCTTTCACTAGAGCAGGTTGCTCCAAACCTCATACAGCCTGGCTTTGAACACTGGCAAGGATGGGGCAGCCACAGCTTCTCTGGGCACCCTGTGCCAGCACCTCAGCACCCTCATAGCAAAGAATCCATTTGCACCTTTAATTTATCAGCATGTTATGAAAATATTTTGCTCCAAAAGCTATGAAATTTTGCATAGTTACAGAAAAATCAATGAAGTAAAACAACAAGGACATGGTTTATAATCTATGGCCTCCGTTACTTGAGAAGCCCATCAGCAAAGGTCCAGGGGCCGAGCAATACAGCAGCCCCATACAGCTGCATGGAAAATCCACACAGTGCGTTAGTCCCAGCAGTCCTGGTTTTAGCAGCAGAGAAAGAGTGAGAGAGGAGCCCAGTACCATGCTTCACATACGTTTTGGCAACAGCAGAACTGATGACATACCCTGAATCTTTTCTTGCACTTCTCCTATACCCCGCACCTTGTCCACATTCCGATACCACACAGGGAATTAACAGAAAGGTCAGTATATGCATTGAGGAGCAAAAGTATGAAGACAACAGACCAGCATGGAACAGAGTCCAAGAATTCTCTGTCCTCTTCCAACCCGTGGTGAGAAGGACGAGAAACAGAAGCTAATTTAGCTACAAAGTAAATCCCAAAAAGCCAAAGCACAAGAAGTTGATGCTAACCCACCTGTACCATTCCTAAGACCCCTCTGCATGTTTTCTTTCTTAAAAGGACATGAACTAAGGTTTTCAGCAAAGCTAACTAGAAACACTATCCCTCTGTGAGCTGACACAGTCTATGTGCTACTGCTTTCTGTCATCATTGCTCAGTGAAAGGCTTGCACATAAGAAGGAAAAACTACACAAGTGCCAAGAAATGCAGCAGCACAACTGAAAAAATATTGTCTCTGGGCTTGTAGCTTGTATCAATTATCACTTTTAATACAAAATATCAGCTCAAGGCTTCTGTTCCCCTAAACAAGAAGTACAAAGTTTCTGTTTCTCAAATCATGATGCAAGGGCAACCAATGTACTCAAACTGGGATTTCTACAGACGTGTTTGAGACTTGTATTTTTCTGCTATTTGAATCTGTAACCGGTTTTCATGCTGCTTTAAACAGGAATTTTCCTTTTGATTTCAGCACTGCAGCCTATACAGCAGCAAAGCCATCTTTACTTGCCAATAGTGCTCAGTTTATAGCAAATCCAGGACACCACATCAGCCAAGTGCTCCTCGTGGATATGTTGTCAGAACAGAAAAGTCTTCCCTCCCCCAACCTCAATACAAAGTGAGCTACACAAATGAAAATGCTGTGCTGAAGTCCTCTGTTGGCATTTCCGGATGTACCACGAATCCTAATTCACCAAGAACTGAGACTGGTGAGGTGCAGATTAGACCTCTTCATTCTTACTCAGATGACTGACACATTCCCAGGTACCTTCCTATCAACTGCCCCAGTGCTCTCCCCAGCCCAGGCTGTAGAAACACACAAACTGCCACCTTTTTTTAACTCTTTCATATTTACACTTGGACACGGTGGTTGTTTCTAGGTGTATGTACATCACCACAACCCAGAGCAGGGCTCTGCAAACCTCTTGTGTGTTTTAACAAACACTTCAACAAACATGCTTACAGTGGCTTTTTACACACTCAAAAGCTTGTTAACCAGCCAGGCATTTCCCCTCTCTCCTCTTTCCAGCCCTGGATGTGCTCTTCAAAGAGCTCTATTTACATGCCAAGTTACAAAGTTCAACTGCTTCCAAAGCAACGTGGAAAAAAGCGCAGCTTTCACCATTCTACAGTGAGGTTTTTCACAACGTGAAGTGACTTGGATTCCTTTTCCTTAATTTCCAAACAGGATTTCACAGTTCAAACAGAAAAAAAAAATAGTATCTCAGTCCACCCACAGGCCTTTGATGAACACTCACTGAGGGGCTTCAAAAGGAGAGAGCTCTGCAACCTTAAGCATCACGTTACCCATGAAAAAAAACTGCTTTCAAGTCAGAAACAAGGGTCACCAAAATCTGCACATCCACCAGAGTTTAAACTACTTCTCATGCTTACTCTTTCTTCTCATTTGCTTCCAAACCATTCATTTTGTATGAAATCAACTGTGTCTGGACAAACAATGAGGCTGGATTTGGTCACTTCTTCAGCAGCATTCACAGCAGGTCGCAGCTGGTGCTCCCCCCAAGCTCTCCACACACAAGTGTTTCTAGAGAGAAATTAAGTCCTAGATTTCTACCTTGCATTTAGCCTGTCAACTCCTCGGAGCACGAACTGGCACCTCATCAGAACCTTTTTTGTGGAGAGCCAAGAGTATTATCAGCAGGTCAGTAATAATGATCAGTTTGGATGAACAGCCTTTGCAAATAAAACCCCTTTATAAAAACAGGAGTAGGAGAATTAGCAAGGAGTAAGGATTCTACTAGAAATGCCAAAGCAGCACCAGACCTGCACTGTCAATGTCAGCATTCTGAGAAACAGAAAACATTAAACCCCAACTATTAGCAATCCTTACCCACTCTTATCCCCATCCTCTCCCTCCATTCTATACCAACACGAAGCAGAGGAAAATGATTGGAAAATTCCAGAGAGAAGAAAATGACACATGCCAAGAACTTCCAGAGGCAAGTCCAACTTCCTACAAATGACCAGGAATTCAGTAGAAGCTACAGCCAGCTGCCATCTGCTGACACAGATTTCTTCTTCCTCCCTACACTGGCAGGAAATAACTACAACCTAGCTTTTACAAATGTTGGATGCCCCATCTAGGAGATGGAACATTGAAATTCTTGGAAAACACTTTTGCTTTTCAGAGACCATAAGAAACGACCTTTTGCAAATGAAGGAATACAGCAATACAACCTCTATAGAGACACTTTCCAGCCTTCCTCCTTTCCTGGTCCAAAAGCTTGGTTTTCAAGGCCTCCCCTCAAGTACAGACAGCACCATTCCATCCTCTTTCCTTCCTTCCTTCCTGCAAACATTAGGCTCTCTCTGCCTCCACTGTTGCTTCCTTTGGGTCTCTCAAAAAATGGTTACCATATTTTTTAACAAGCGCATGTTCTGCAAGCAATCCCTGCTCCTCCATTCCTTCCGTGAATGAAGGAATTCATCTTAATTTTCTGTCTTTACCCTAGAAGGCCAGGTTTCGGATGCTCACTAGAACACACAGCTATTTTAATTTAAGTTCAATAGCCCAGCTATTTTAATTGTAGTTAAACTTCCTAGCTATTTTCATTTCAATAGCCCAGCTATTTTAGTTTAAGTAAGTTGCACGAACGATTTTTGGTGTTGGAGATTTGAAATACCTTATGTTCCTCACAACAAGCACAGAATCACAGGATGGTCCAGGTAGGAAGGGACCTTAAATACCATCTGGTTCCCACTCCCCTGCCACAAGCAGAACACCTTCCACTGCCTACATAGGTTTTCCTTTACTTTAACAACACTTAGAATTCCTGAGTTTTCAGGGCAAAGCATGATAAAACTTGTTAAAAATGTTAACAAACAGCTAAAGAGAAAACCCAGTTCAGACACATCCAGGACCCCCGTTGATAAGTTTCTGTACTGTTGTGTTCTGTGTGAGCTGCTCAGAGCAGGACATTTTCTTCTTACTTTCTGTAAACCACATGGCACCATTTTCAGAGCCACCTAAATAAATAATAAGACGTTTAGCTAGATAATGCATATTCTTGCTTTGATTCAAACCTTGTGTTTTGCTCTCCTCAGCAGCCTGCCTGTGACTCCACGGTAACTTAAGTTCTCACCTCCACAAAAACCAGTGGGTTAACGATTAACAAACCCGAGCTCAACGCAAACTCACGATGAAGGAGGCAACCGGGACCGAGCGTCAGCCAGAGACCCCGCACAGGTACCAGAGCCACGGCTCCTCCCGCGAACTTCGTGCCCCCTCGCAGCACCCGGCCGCGGAGAAGGGGGGCCCGCGGGCTATCGGAGACGTAGCTGAACCCCCCCTATCAGCGCACACCGGGGCCAGTCCCGGTCCCCGGCCCCCGCCCCGCGGCACCGACCGCCCGCGGCTCCGCCCCCCGCGCCCAGGTACGCGCCGCGCAGCCGGCGGAAGGGCGGGCGGCGGCCGCACGCCCGCACCGAGCCCCCCATCTCCTCACACCCCCCCACCCCCGCCGCTGCGCGGCCCCTCCGGGCACCGAGACCCCCGCAACCGCCACCGCCCCCCAGGCAGCGCCTCCCCTCCCCCCCTGTGTCCTGCCCTTGCCTCCTGCCCGCAGTGCCCGGTGCAGTGGGAGGAGCGGCGACCGCCTCCCCTCGGGGACACCGCACCGAGCCCTTCCCCGCTCCCCACCCCGCCGCTCGCCCGCCTCACCCCGCCCGCCGCCGGCTCCAGCGCTGCCTCCGGCGCGGCCCCGTCCCGGCTCCGCGGCCCCGTCCTGGCTCCTCCGGCTCCGCAGCGGCGAGCGGGGCTCGGGCACGTGACAGCGCCCCGCGCCCCCATAGGCTGGGGCTGCCGGGCAACGTGGGCCCGCCCCCTCCCTGCACCTGAGAGAGAGCCTTACGGCAACTGCGTAGGGTGTATGCCTGCCCGCCGCGCCAATTCCGTAGCGGCGCGGAACCGGCCGTTTCCTCCCTTCTTGCGGCAGGCCAGCGCAGCCTTACGGAATTGACGTAAAGCTGCTTGGCTCATCCCGTCCGGTTTCCTACCTGGGGCCGCTACTCCTTACGTTAACTGCGTAATCCCACCCGCCGCTCGCGGTCGAGGGCTCGCGGCAGTTCAGAGAGCTCTCGCTGCTACCCGGGTTAGGAGCGGCTAAGCTTGCTCCTAGGAACGTCACTTGCGTAAAGCCCCTCAAAGAGGTTGGTGTTTCTTACGAATTTTCCGTAATGTCGTCAACGCGGGCGCTGCACCTGAGAGGGCTCCCGTTGCGCAAAAGTCGTAGGTGCTAGCGTGTCGGGCGCCGAGTGCGTAAGCGGCGCGGTAGGGCTGAGGGGCGGCTGGGCCTGGCGGCGCGGCGGGAAGCAGGTGTGTGTATGTGGGGAGGAGCCGCCGCCCCGGGGCACGTCGACGGACACTGTTCGTGTGCTTTCAACCACACCCAGCCCCTCTGGCAGGGATCCAGGGCCGGGAGTGCAAACGCTCACCAGAGGCAGACTCGTCCCCGCCGGCCGAAGGAGCGGGACCGGGCCTGGGGTGAAGTCCCGGGCCCGGCGGAGGGATGGGGCAAAGCTGAGGTGAGGCGAGGCCCGAGCTCCCCCTATCCAGCCAGGGTACGTCCCTGATGGTTTTTATATCCCATTGTGCAATCCAGAGCGATGCGGAAAGAGAACATTCTCCTAAATTGAACTGAGGAGTAGCGTTTCCATGTGAGTAGCTGTTCTCTGCGTGGAATCCTCAGTGGTTGGCTGAGGACATTAAAATCGAGGCAGCTTTGTGGTGTGTTTAGGTGGGTTGCGCTGCACAAGGAGTACAGTTTTTGATGTTCTCCATCTTTCTCTTATAGAAAGCAAGACAAAAGGGTTTCAGTTAGCTTTCAGCGGTGTTAATTGTTCCTAATCCCAGACATGTGGCTGTTCTAGAGCAGATGGGCACTGTGGTGAAGTGAGCTCCAGGTCCTGTTGTTCACCAGACTCTTCAGAGAAGTGCTAGTGAGCCAAAACCTTTAGGTATGAGGAGGGTGAGTTAAACCTGGTGGGTTTTTCTGGCTTTGGATGTGTGTTCCATAGAACCTTTGTGGTTTTGCATCAGCATTCAAGTGGCTGGTATCTTCGCATGACTGCTTCAAAATGTCTGCCAGGTTTTCTTGGTTAAGTGCCTTTCAACATATAAATCCACGGCACTCATATTTAATATCACTTTTTTACACTTTTCAGGAATAATTTTATATAGGCTGTAAAGATGAAAGGCTGTTGATGGGGCAGCTCTTTGCCAAAGCAAGCAGTACACAACATGCCGTGCTGAAACAGCCTATGAGGGAATGTTGGCAAAAGGCAGTAGGATCAGGAGATTTGCAGGACTGAAATGAAAACAGTAACTTTCATTCAAAAGAGTGATTTGCAGCATTAGATGGAAGTAGAAAATGCATGTGCGTTGATAACTTTAGCTGCAATGAGAGGTCCAGCTTGTTCAAATTGAACTTACATTTTGTATACTTCTTTACAAGCCTCTGGCTAAAGCGTCACCTTACTTTTGAACAGTCAGACATAGTTCTGCTTTCATAACAAGCTTTTATCTCGTGGTTAAGGATTGAAGGGAGAAACAAATCTGAGGAGTCTGTTACTGCTTTCATGTCTAGAATCGAGAGGTTTCAAAGCAAATGCTTAGCTGCATCTCGTGTGTGCCCTTAAAATACTAGCGCAGGCCTTAAGAAGGGGTGAAAAGGTAATAGTTAGAAAATCAAAGACTTGTCCAAGGACTTAATGGGAGAATATTTTTATTTGAAACTTTTTACAGCAAAGAGTACAAATAGAGGCCAGAGGGAGGCAGCTGGAGGAGATAGTGGGATGGGAAGGGACAGCTGTGAAGAGTAGTGGCTGTGCTGGAGATGTAGTAAGGAGAGAAAAATCGGCAAGGGATGGCATCTCAGTGCAGCTCTTGCAGAGGCAGAAGAAAGATATTTTCAGCTCTGGTCTGAGTGAAATTTGGAATTTTTCCGTTGAGTTCTCCCTTGGGCTAATGATTTGCCAAGGGCAAAAACACAGAGGAAAGGGGATTGATGGATTAATTTAGAATACAGGGGATTGGGAGAGCTTTGGCTCTGCAGTACAAGGATATAAATTTAACAAGGAAAAGAACATCTGAGGTTTGGAAAAAAAGTTAACATCTGTCTTTAGGCTTCATAGAATAAAAAGGGAGAAAAATTAATTTATGTCTCTAAGTATACTTAGTGAGAGGTGGAGACTTGAACTGTGCCAAAAGCAACATGGAATTAGAGTTACCTTGATGAAAGTTAAAATAATTAACAATAATTATGCTTTTTCTTGGGACAAAATACTGGCATGGAAAGAATATTTTTTTTAATCTCTGACTGATGGAAATGTTTCCTGCAGACCTTGTCATAGAAATATTGAAGACATTGTCGTGTATTCTTGAACATTACTGGCTTTCTTGAGCTAAGGGAATCATAAAGGCTTGGAGGTGCAGAGAGTAAGTTCAGTGAAACACTTGGCCGGAGGTCACACACAGACAAGTAGCATAGTCTGGATTAGAATTCCAAGCCTTGTGCTCATTCTGGTGGGTTGTCCTCATAGTCAGGAGCTGAAGGAAATCTAAAGGGTGATGTTATCACTGGAAAGACAAAGTACACGTTGTTAGCGTGTAACTTGGACTTTAGTTTTGGTTTCTTGATTCCAGCAAATAAACTTTCTGGGGAAAGTGATTGTGGAAAGGGAACTCACAGGTAACTTCTGAATGCTACATGTTGGCTTGTCCCTTTGTATCTCCTGACTGGTCACATTAGGTTAGGATGGTCTGATTTTAAGTTCTATGCAGGCTTTGTGCTGGAACAAGTGTATATAATGTAATAAACCCAATTATATGAGAACAGTATACACAGATCTGAAGTGTTAATGCAGAGAAGAGTTGTGGTGACCAAAGCCTTTTAGACTGTTATTCCACTGATGTTTACTGACACAATAATTGTAGAATTAGGTTGTGAAAATACCAAACAAACCCACCTGTACCTGGACTGATTTCCTGCTCGTAGATCACACACCTGATTAGACTGTATTTTATAAATGTGATAAGGAAATGTTATTACCAGTATTAAATACAAAATAGAGGCAAGTCAAGAGCTAGTGTGTGTGAGGAGCATGTGAAAGCAGTTGTCCTGAGAACCAGAAAAAGAGACCTTCACCAAAAGTTGTTGCTGGCTACTGGTTTAAGCCGGGAGTGAACAAGGCACTGAAATGTGCAGCGAGGCAGCCCCATGAGATGGTGTACTCGGATGATCTCGCATCAGCTACAACTACTGCGTTAAGGACTAAATGGCTATTAACTGTAGTAAGGGGAAAAGTCTTAAGTGAGCAAGGATGAAATGTAACCTATCAAATTTCAAGTGTTTGCTATTGCTTACACACAAAAGGGAATGTTTGCGTAGTACCTGAGGGAAGGGGTTTTTTTCTCTTAACTCGGAAAAGAAATATCTGTTTGAGACTTACCATTGCCCAGTGACCCAGTTCTTTACACGTTTCAAATTCTGCCTTTAGACATGTACTAAAGTTAATGGGATTTGTGCAGAGATGTCTGAGGACAGACTTTGAATTGGACAATAATAACTCTGTATGAGGCAGGTATTTAAAAATCTTTGTAGGAAAAGCTGTCTTTACACATGAAATCAGTCTCAAGCTTCACAGGAATTTAAAAATAACAAAAAAATGGAAGAATTGGGAAAGGAACTTGTTTGACTTTACATCTTTTTAATCTATAAACCCAAATAATTGCATGTGCTTAACTTTAATTTCAGTGGGGCTAATCACACATTCAGTGTGGCTGCTTGTGTTCTTTGAAGTTAGGCGGTCTTTGAATACTTTCCACCCAGGAGGCTTGGATTTAGAAAGGGTGATAAGCTAAGGAGATGACTTGCAAATGTAAAGAATTTTGAAGGAAATCTTGAAGTTCAAAAGAGCAGCTCATTTTTAATGGCAAAAATGAAGTTGGAAACGATTCCATGCAACATAAAACAGTGTCCAGAGCCACTTTTCTGTCTTGCTGTGTTTGCTTGTGTGGAGAGAAGTAAACAGAAAAGGAGGTAAAATACCAAAGTATACAGAAAACAAAACAGAAAGTTATGATGTCATCTGGCTTCTGCATTAAAAAAAAAAAACCCAACAACATAGTAGAAGGTGACAGTTAAAGGGTTATAATATAATCAGTGTAAAACCAGATGTTCAGCTGGTTAACACTGCATTCAGAAAAGGTAACCATTTCTTAAAAAATCTTCTGTCTTTACAGGGTGACTCTGGACTTGTTAAAATCTAGAGTCAACAAAAGTATTTGTGCAGATCTGCATTAAAACCAAAGGCTAAATATCTGAGTACTCAGTTGCTGGCAGCAGTTTTGGGGTACGGGAAGGGAAATCAGTGATGAAAACCTGATGGATTTTAATTGAATCTGTTTCACTGCAGGATGTGGGGAGAAGATTCACAGTGGGGAAAAGTCACATAAGATAGTATCAGCAGAGCAGTCTGCTAGGTGTAACTGTGTGTGGGTCTTAGTCTTCAGAAGGCATGTCTGAGTCTTAACCAAACAGCTCTCCATATACCTGCTTATGCTGGGACTGATGTAATAACTTAAGCCTTCCCCCCATACTGTTGAGGTTTACTTTAATGTGGGCTCTAACATGTCTGGTTTGTAGTGAGGATCTTACAGAAGGTGATAAACTGAGTCAACATTTGGTAGTTCTGAAACGCCATCTCGCATCGAGCATCCCATGCTGTTCCTAGGTGTCAGAATTTACCTTACTTTGTGTATACTTGATCCTAGTTTTTATTGCTTCACTTCATTTCATTGT